GTCAAGTGGACTTGAGGGGAGGGATTGTATAACAATGAAAGAATTTTTCTTTTACTTTTCAAAGAGGAGAGTGAACTGGGAGGGAGGCAAGAAGGGAGGGGTGGACAGGGAGAAAAGTGCAACAATGAATGAATGAAAAGTCTCAGTCTCTGTAAACTTTCATTAAAATTAATAATTTTTTAAAAAGTGTTTCTTTTCATGAAAGACACTGCTGAACAAGAAAACTGCAAGCCACAGAGTAGGGGAAAGATTTATGGAACATAAATGATAAATGGTTCATACTCAAAATACATGAGAAATTAAATAAGAAAAAGAAGAGATAACTCACTAGAAAAATAAGATTAAGCAGAAGCTTGTGACCAATGACAATATGAAAGCAAATGCACAATCGCATTCAGCATGACACTCGCTGTGAATCACGAACACAGACATCAGGGTGGCTGACTCGGAAAAGGCAAACAATGCCGAGAGTCGGGAAAGGTTGGAGGGACGCGGCCCTCGCAAAGAGCTGGGAAATTGTTCACTGAAGCAGAGGCTCTTGTAACACAGCAGTTGTAGTGGTGGCAACGGAAGTGGATAAAGAAAAGGCAGCAGAAGAGGACAGGAGTGTGTTTTCACGCCATCGGCATACAACGTATATCGCATGCGTACAGTGGAATGTTATGAAGCAGACACGTAGGAGGAGTTGCAGGAAGCACACACCGCAGGCGCACATTGCATGATTCTGGCCCTGTCACTTCCGTAAACTGGCCAAGCTGATCACTGTTGTTAGAGGTTTTACTATTTGGTTTGAGGGTTTAAATGGATGAAAGTTTCAAGGAAATGCTTTAAATGAATAGGGTATTTCCACAGTCTTTTCAGACATAAAACACTGAGGACAGACATAAGAAACAAAACCTAGAATATGATTTTTTAAATTTTTTATTAATTTTAATGAAAGTTTACAGAGTCATTGTTGCACTTTTCTCCCTGCCCACTCCCCCCCAATTCACTCTTCTCTTTGAAAAGGAAAAGAAAAACTCTTCCATTGTTATGAAATCCCTGCCCCCAAGTCCACTCCACTGTAATAACCATATTCGATATACATGCTTAGAAGGAGTCTTCGAATAGAGCAATGGAATAGGGTGTCCCCCAGACCAGCTGGCAGAATAGGGAGTGTCCCCCAGAACAGCTTCGTCAGTTACCGTGATCGGAGGTCACCTCCTGACCATCACGTCCTCTCAGCTGTTCCTCATATGCCCCCATAGAGGGTTCGTGAGGAACTGAACACTTTGGGTCAAATATTGCCTCTCCATTATGAATCCATACACAGAAAGTTGTAACATTCTCAAAGTGAAATGCCCACCAAGACCCTGGAGAATATCTCCCTGGGGGTGAGGTTTTGGAGTCTCTTCCCATGTTTCTGGGTCAGGAGAAGGTAAATTTCCATTTGTAAACTCTGTTAAGTGCAGATGAGAGTTCAAGTAAGAAGTCAGAGGAGGAGAAAAGTTACAGAGGCCTAGCAAGCACTCCCTAATTGGCCTGTAGAGAATTTCCCTCTGAGGGGAGAGAAGTTACTTCTACCAAATCCCACACCCTCGCCAGTCCCCTTGTCTTCCTAGGGCAATGCTGGGCCATCCTGGATGTAAATGTTAATTTTTAGATGCACCAACAGGGCTATGAGCCATGACCCCAGGAACCCCAATCTCTTCCTATATTTCCACATTTAGGTGATAAATGTACTCAATTTGGTAAGTGGATTGATAAATTTGGAACATTTGGAAATGTTGCTGTGGAGTACCATTAAGTCAGAACCGACTCATAGCTGGCCCTCCAGTAGGTTTTTAAAGGCAGTAAACTGCATGGGAGAAGGTTACCTATCTTTCTCCTTCAGAGTAGCTGGTAGATTTGAACTACATACCTTGGTATTAGTAGCTAAGCCAAGGAGAGTTGCACTTGACACAGGACTCTAGGCTGGGGTCTGTGGGGCTCCACATTAAGCTGTACCAGTCCATGTTTCTCACACCCTATCTCTCTTCAAAGCATTTCACTTCTCTCCATAGAATCCATTGCTCCCTGCAGCTCGCATTTTCACCCTAGCACCCAGTGGATCCATGTTGTCTGGGCACGGAGAAAGATTTGTGCTGATGGCACAGTCATAAACGATGAAGCAAGCTCATTGTTCATCTGAATTTCTGATTCCAAGGAGAGAGAGAGAAGGAGAGAGAGGGAGGGAGGAAGGGAAGGAGGGAGAGGGAGAGAGGAAGAGAGAGAGAGAGATTGATTGATTCTGCTCATGCAGACGTGTATTGTGCGTGCAGGAGACTGCAAAGACTTCAATGACTAGTTTGAGAAACTTGACATTTTCTGCATTGGCTTGGTTATATCTGGAGAAGTTCCTCTGTGAAGTGTGGTTGCAGGGAGTTTGAATCCCAGTTTCGGGAACAAAAGTTGGGGGCAGGAATACCGTTTGGGTTTGCTATTATTCTCAGTTTTCACGTCATCACCTTATACTTAACCATTTCTTAAAAAAACATACTACTTTATTTTCAGTGAAAGGATGACCAGCCAAGCAGGTTTCGTTTGGCAGTGTCCGCACACGATGTCCAGCGCAGAACGCATCCTTCTTTTGCAACCGCGTTCTCCTATTCTTGCTTCCCCACTTTTATTAATCTAGTCTCACTGCCCTCAACCTGCTCATCTGTCCTTTAGAGGAACGCTTGTTCACTTGGTATCACATGGACAATTGCTATAGTATTTATTTTTGGACATTTTATTGTACTTTGGCTAAAAATGGACAGAACATTCTCCATTCAACATTCATACCCATTAATGAGGTGATCGGGTTGCAGTTCCTTTAATTAGGCTCACTTCCCGCACGCTTCCACTTTCCCCCGTGTTCTTTGCCCTCCTTCACCTTCTTTTCTACCCAACCTGCTTCCTGAGCTTGGCTTTTGGGCGAATGCAGCCCTTTTGGCCTCTCCCAGTGTGGTTGGCCACTCTGAGGTGAACTGCCTTAGGAGCTTATTACTTACTTCGTAAGCTCTGAGTGCACAACTCTGCTGGGTGAAACTGGCTACTTTTTGAGCTAAGTTATTTGCTTTTAACATATCTTAACATACTTTAAGAAGACCTTTTACAATTTTTTTCATGTTATGTTTTACCTCTTTTGCATATCATCTCGTCTACTATCAATATTGCACCCCTATTTCACTTGCCCATCCTCTTTTTGCATGAATGTGGGGACAGATGCAGACCTTCGTGATGAGGGTAGAACTGGAAATGCAATCCTGTTGGCAATGCCATTCATTACTTTCTGGAAAGGGACATCTTAAAAGCAGATAATAACACAGATGCAGTGATCATTTTGTGATCACTAACTCCTGGGCATTTAAAGGGAATTACTGACCAAAGACTAGGGCTACAACATTTTCATTGTCAAGGTCTTAGATTATTGTTTTTATTTTGTTAAGTGAGAGATCCACGATTACAAGAGGTTAATAGCAGTTGGATAGACTTCTCAATGAGACTGAGAGTATCAATGAGATTGGGAATACAGTGAGTCTTCACACACGGAAAGAGGACTGGCTTTCTAACGTGGGAAATAGTAGGTATTTGTGATGGAGATGAGATCAATAGGAGTTCAAAGAGAGAAGAGAGGGAGGGAGGAAAAGAGAGAGAAGAGAAGAGAAGAGAAGGGAAGGGAAGGGAAGGGAAGGG